TGTGTGTGTGTGTGTGTGTGTGTGTGTGTGTGTGTGTGTGTTTTCCCCAGCAGGAAGAGGAATTGTATTTTAGGAACCTTAAATGAACAGGAATCCTCATATACATAGGGAATTATCAGACTCCACGTTCTGTTTCCTTGTTTTGCAGAAAAATGTCTATCTGGGCCAGAATTGTTTATGTACTTTTGTAACAAAACAAACAAACAAAAAGCAATAACAACAACAAAAAACCTTTTTTTTTTTTCCCCAGCAACATGAGTTATAGATACCTTTCTCTTTTAGGGGCTCAGTACACCAGAATTTTGCGGACTTTACTTTTGTAACTGGAAAAATAGTTGGAACCAGGCTAACGTTAAAAGGAGAAATAGACTCCGGTGTAGCCATCGACCTCACCAACAAAGCTTCCTTAGCTTTCCTACAGAGGCATTTAGGTAAGAAACAGCCTTCCTCTGTGACTCAAGTCGCTTGATTCTCAGGGCAAAACCATTTTATACTCATTCCATCTTAGTCTTATTGTAGTTGTTTCCATCTAGTTTTTAGTAGACAAAGCAGTAAATTAAAAAGGAACATTTCAAAAAGTGAATTATGCTTTCTTGCATTCTTCACTATGTACTTGTTGAACCTTCTATGGAGCCAGGGTAAATTTGCATGCCAGAGATAATGACAGCAGCTTACTTCTAAGCCTCTCAGGAGGTTCTGCATATGCTAATGCAACCTGGAGACCTCAGACAGAATACCTGGTCATCGGTGTAATGGTTCTGTAATTTGTGGCTCTATGGTGCCACCTAGCGGCACCCAACTGTCAAATAGTTAATATTCCTGACAGTATTATTATTGTTATTATTATTGTTGTTATAGGACTTCATAAAGACTTCAATCAGTGGGACTCTCTGGTGGAAGGAAAGAACAAGAATCTGATCCCTGGGTCACCCTCTGATGTAGTCAACCTGTCTCCGACTCTACAGAGCTCTCCAGGATCACACACCCAGAATTAGAAGAGCTGGTTACACAGTTTTCTTGTGAAATTGAAAGAAACAGAGAGACAGAGAGGAAGAGAGAGAATGGAAGAGATAGACAGATCTTAATGTATTTACCCAAATGACCCATTTTTAAATGTACACTGTACTATGGAATAAATGATGGATACCTGCACTAGGATTTTTTTCCCATGTAAATGTAAAGAACATAAAGAAGAGCATATAAAAATCATCTCCAGTCTAGATCATATTTTTACAAAGCCGGTCCTTCGTGTCAAATGAAAAGCTGCTTTCATATTATACTTAGAGAAAAGTCTATTGACGGGAATGATGGCAGTGAAAAATCTGTTGTAAATGATACAAGAGTCCCAAACTGACAATGAAAACCTGTCTTTGATTTTTCTGCGCTGAGCAGCAGAATTGAGTTTGAGCTGTTTGAGAGTCTGTGTGGAATCTGGTAGCATTTCTCTGCCTTTTGGCTGAAGCTTACATTAATCTGGTCATAAAGCCATTGTCCTGATGCTGTTATACTGCCATCTGAGGTGAAATACGATGTGGGTGGGGTTTTTAGGGTATCTGGGCCATGGGCAATAGAGTCAAGAAAGTTGGTGCTTTGGGTTTTTAATCCTTTAGTCTCTGATGTGTTCTGTTTACTAAATGGAGACACTGTGGGTTAGTTAGGCTGTGTGAGGCAGGCCAGGGATTCCCCTGGACAACAATAGCTATTTACCCAAAGACTGTGAAGGATGCAAAGGGAACATTCAAAATCCTCAGCCAACTTGGCAATGTTTAAATTTATACGATAATGCTGCCGTGTGGTTAGCAACCAAGTGGAAGTTTTCAAAGATATCTTATAACACGTTACATGTACTATGCATGTGCATGTAAGGTGCTGCAAGTGTGTGTTCATGTGTGCATTGCATGTGGGTACAAGTCATGCACACTTGTGGAGGTTAGAAGACAATCTCGGTGTCAGGCCCTGCCTCCCACCGTGTTAGTCAGGTTCTCTCTGTTGTTCTCTGGTGCATATACCAGGTTAACTGCCTCCAACTGCCAGGGACTCTCCTGTCCCTGACACCTATCTTATTGAGGAACAGATAAGTCCTACTGCCCCCTGACTTTTCCTGGGCTCTAGGGTTTCAAATTCAGGCCTAACCCTGCTCATCAAAGGCTTCAGTCACTGGTTCATCTCCCCAGCCCTTCAAAGGTATACATACCCATACACAATTGCCATTTGTACAGGTGCTGGCTGAGGCCAGAAGAGGACCCCGCATTTCATGGAACTGGAGTTACAGATGGTTACAAGCTGCCTCACAGGGGTGCCAAGAACCGAACTTGGGTCTTCTGCAAGCTCAGCATGCGCTCTTAAGTTTCGAGGCATCTCGAGGTCCTCTTCCTCATTTTCCAACGCAATTTCCTCTCCATCCCCACTTACTGAAATGATACCCACATGTTGATGACGATGGTGCTTTTGTGTTTCAAGACAGGGCCTCACTGTTTATCCCTGGTTGGCCTGGAACTCTCCATGCAGACCAGGCTTGCTCTGAATTCCAAGATCTGCCTGTCTTTGCCTCCGGAGTGTCACCATGCCTGATTTTTAAGGTGCTTAATTCTCACTGTTCCCAGGACAGCAGGGTCAAGAATATTCCTATGCATACACTCTCAGCCTTTTTATTTTAGAAATAGTTAAGTGCTGGGGCTCAAAGGAGTTTTTTTTATTCAAGAATACTTTTTTAAAAAATAGTTGTGGTGTAGGCCGAGGCTCAAAAGAGAAAAATGATGAAAAACATCTAATGAGCTACAGTTTTTAAAATGAACTAGCATACTGGGCGTTTCTCAGAGGAGAGAGTAGTGATTCACACATTTCCAGCATTCTATGTGTTGTATGTAAATTTTTGTATCTAATCTTTAAGGAAAAAGTTTTTAAAAGATTTACTTGTATGTGCGTTAGTGCCCTGCTGCATGGGTGCTCCTGCACCGTGTGCATGCAATGCCCACAGAGGCCAGAAAAGGGCACTGGGTTCCCGAGATTGGAGTTACAGACATGTGGGCAGCCCTGTGGATACTGGGAACCAAACCAGTACCCTCTGGAAGATGGAAGATGGCCGAGTCATCTCTGCAGATCCCTCTTCCCAATTTTAACCCTTCAAGAAGGTTCTATCAGTATGGCGTGGGTGAAGATCAAGGCTTAAGGACAGTATGCTGCCTACCCAGGTCACATATCAAGTAAGTAACTTATAGCTCCTGTTTCCAAAAGTATGGCTCTGGACACTTTCCACAGCAGAGCATCGAAACCATTCTTCAAAGCCTGAGCTTTCCAATCAGATGGATCTGATTTTAATCAAGCCCATTAAAGTTTTCAACTGGACCCAGGCAAATCAATCAACATTTCTAAAAAGCTTCAGGTTTTCTTTTCCTCTATGAAACCTAGATGGTATTAATATTATGCACCCCAGAGTTCATAATGAAAACGAGAAATTTACCTTTTGTTTATTTTGTTTTTTGAGACAGGGTTTCTCTGTATAACAGCCCTAGCTGTCCTGGAATTCACTCTGTAGACCCGGCTGGCCTTGAATTCACAGAGATCCACCTGCCTCTGCCTCCCAAGTGTTGGGGTTAACATCAAGCTGTGTGCCTCCACTGCTGGTGAGAAATTGCCTTTAAAGAAGCAGCTGAGGGCCCAGTGAGGTTTCAGCTGCTGTGAAAGGGGAGGCCATCACTCTTGAGGACCCCATTCTACCCCATTCCACCCCCTGGGCCCACATGGTGGAAGCAGAGTCAACTCTTGCAAAGTTGTCTTCTAGTCTGCACGTGTGTGCCCATGAATGCATGCATCCACACACACATGTCCTAATGAAATGCAATTTTAAAGACACCAGCTGGGTGACTCACAGGTAAAAGCCAATTCTTCCCTCTTTTGGGGGAGGGGAGCAGAGTCTCATTATGCAGCCCTGGCTGGCCTGGAACTTTATATAGACCAAGCTGTTCTTAATTTCACAACAGAGGGGGCTGCCTCTACCTCCTGAGTGCTGGGGTTAAAGGTGTGTGCCACCACACCAGATCACAGCCAAGTTTTGATAGCACTAAGTTTACCCATGCCTCAGTTACAGAGGAGAGACAGGTGATAGAATGAGACTAGCACAGCTTTCAGGAAAACCTTTATTCAAATCTTGTGGTGCATCTGTGTACATAGTCCAAACAGAACAGCAGCTACCTATTAAGTAGACCGATGAGGCAAAACTTCAAAATCAAAACAGGGGTTCTGAAGATCTTGCTAACAGAGCCATGCCGCCCAGGGGCATCCTGTCATGCTCATCATGAACCTAGAATTTTCTATTTTAATATAAACAATCTATTGAAAAGATACCATTTTTTATGAATATAATAATATGTTAGCAAATTGTTTAGTAAAATAAATTACCCTGGCTGAGAAGAAACATGAGAAGGCTACAGGTTGAAAGACAAGCCCCAACACCTAAATAGCAATAAACAGGCTGCTTTGTCAACCTGAGGCCTATTGTTTCCATCACACATCAATTTCCCTCGCTAAGGACAACTTCAGGGGTCACATGCTTTACGTTTGGTCTGGGTACCATGTGGCTTGTGAAAGGCAGCGTCTGACTGGCCTAGTCTACACAGCCAGAGTCGAATCTGCATCACCTCCACACTCATCCTCCTCTGAAACAGAAGAAAGGTCTGAATGAGAAAGCATGGAGACAACAGGGCAGGCAGGCAGGAAGAAGGGTGTCCTAAGAGGTACCCAGACCCATTCTTAAGAAACAAGCTGTTCTCTTTTTAATACTCCAGCTCCCTGTACCTAGTACCCACACTTTTAAAAGACATTATGAAATTAGCTAATCTCATCTCTTTCTGCAATGAGGGTAACAAGGCAGCCAGCCAATCAGTTTGTGAATTAGCCTGACTTTTCCCATATTCCACTACAGTCACAAGGGGCTGATTTTATTCTGCCACAATTCTAAGAAACAACATGCTGCTTATTCTGTTTTTACTTTATTGTGTGTGTGTGTGTGTGTGTGTGTGTGTGTGTGTGTGTGTGCCCACCAGTGCATGTGTACACACATATGGGGATGTGTGGAAGGAAAGACAACTTGGCAAGAGTCAGTTCCTCCTTACACCATATACTGGTTAGGTGGGCGTTTTTTTGTTTTTTTGTTTTGAACTTGACAGAAGGTAGGGGCATCCAGGAAGAAGGAACTCAATGGAGAAAATGCCTCTTTAGGCAAGTCTGTGGGAGCTTCTTCTTGATTAATAATCTATGTGGGGGGAACCATGTCTACTGTGGGTAGTACCAGCTCTAGGTAGTGGTCTTGGGAGGTATAAGAAAAGTATTATGAACTGGACAGCAAGCCAGTAAGCAGCATCCCTTCTTGGTTTCTGCTTCCAATCCTGCCCAAGTTCTTGCCCTGAATTTCCTCAACGATCGACTGTGATTGGACCATCCCAAATAAATACTCTCCTCCCAAGTTGCTTTTGGTCATAGTGTTTATCACTGCAGGTGAGAGCAAACTGGAATGCATCATGTATGGGATGCAGGGATAGAACTCAGGTCAGCAAGGCCTGGCAGTAGGCCTCTAGACCCACTGAGCCATATGACCACCAACCAAAGAACTGTTTATGGAAAAGAAATTCCAAATTCCTGGAATACCCAACAAACTGCATCTTGTCATAGAGACAAACTAAATGTCCAGAAAGAAATCCCAAAAGATTGATAGGCAGATAAATTCAATATGTGAGTAAATTAACCCTGAGCAAGCACCTAATTTTTAAGTTATATTATTTTGTGTGATGGGGGATGATGGCTAGGTACCTGCACATGCGTGTATGAAGATAAGAGGACAATTGGCAAATGTCGGTTCTTCCTTGCACCATATGGGTCCCTAGGTTTGAACTCAGGTCTTCAGGCATGACAGCAAGTGCCTTATACCCTGCTCACTGATACCATCTTGCTGGTCTCGAGAAAACCATTCCTTGCCTTTTAAAATATTAACTTGTCAAGTTCAGAAGTTGGCTTCCAAGACTAATTCAATTCACCAACAAATTCCCTCTGACATTTCAACATATCTTATTTATCTCGATTAACCACATTTAAAAATTTTACTACCCCCCACCCCCAATGCCACCATCTGGTTCTGCTAACACCCATAGAAGCTGACAAAAAATCACGTTTGAGAGAGTAAAGGTAACGAATGCTATCTTTACGGCTTGGAAATT